TCCGCGGTGCCGTCAGGGCCTCCCCGCCTGCCCAGGCTTCGCCCAACGCTCCTCGCACCACCCGGCCTATGTTCGTCCTTTGAAAGTGTTCATGCAGGTGTAGGTCCCAGAGAACCTGTGGATTTCTTCAAGCGCTGCCTGAGGGAGGACGCTGCGGGAGAGGTAGAAGAGAATGAGCCGGGTGGACAGAGCTTCGGGCTCTGCTGCTAAGAGGACGTGTACGTGAGCCCTTACCTGCACACGCACCTTTACCTGCACACACACACCTTTACCTGCACACACACATTTATGTGTACACACACGTTTATGTGTACACACACACACGTTTACGCATGCACACACATTTACATGCACACATGTTCATGTGCACACATATATTTATGTGTGCACACACATGTTTACGTTTACACACATATATGTTTACATGCACACACACGTTTACGTGCACATACATTTATCTGCACACACACACGTTTACATGTAGACACACATTTACGTGCACACACATGTTTACATGCACATACACATGTTTACGTGCACGCACACGTTTACATGCGCACACACACATTTACGTACACACATATGTTTACGTACACACATATGTTTACATGCACACATACATAGGCCTAAAGGGAGAACGTTCTATCAAATCACTCTTTGTCTACTGAAACGTTTATCAAAAAATGTCCAAACCCCGTAACTTGGAAGATACTACCATCATGTTTTATTCCTCCCAAATATTGAGCAGAATCTCCTGCTCTGACACATACAAACTTAAAGCGAGTTCCCTGCTGAACTCACAACCTGTTTGTGTCAGGCAGGTGGCCTCCTCCTCACCAGATACGGGTACAGATCGAATTTCCTGACCGTTACTGTACATGGAAAATATATGACTAATTCTTACAATAACAGAGAAGAGCCCCTTTTCAAGCTGTAGAATTTCTGGGAACTTTTGAGAGTATGCCAAATCTTATATTCAGAAAAAAGCATTCATTGTGAATTATTTTTTCTTGTTTAAGAAGACAATATTGTAATTATTTTCCACAGAAATCTCATGGCTTTCTTTCAGTTTGTGACTAGAGTAGGTTTTAAAAAGACTTTAGTGCAAACTCTTATGGAAACACAATTTTAAGTGTCCGTTCTCTTTAGTTGTTTCAGTATATGAAGTTATGACTTTCTTTCCTTAGGGACTTTAACATTTCTGTCCTAATTATGCACAAAAACTATTTTTTTAATAGTTTCATGGCTTTAAGAGACGCTCTCTAACACAGCTGTGATGTACATACCTTGTTGTACAGAAATCTTTTACAACTTAAAGCCTGGCTTACTAAATCAAAACCAACGACATGCCTATGCCAGTTGTCAAGAAACTTCCCAGATACAAATACCAGTTCAGACCTCAGGAATCCAAACGCTGGGAGTGAAACTGGTTTCATAAAGGGGTTATACCACAAGAAAACACCTACAAAGGGCATCTCAGGGAGTTTTCTCCCATTTGCTCCTGTGACTGTCTCCATGGGAAGGGATGAACCCCTCCGACCCTGGACTCTGGGTCACTGGCCAGGCTGGTGCTGGGCAAAGGGAGCATTTACCTCTTCAGGATGACGAGCACGTTCATTGTCCACGGAAGGAGCACGAAGGCTTGGTTCATCTGAACAGCTTCTCCTGCCCTCTTAGCCACTGTCTCTGGCTTGAGAGGAGGAAAAAGATTAGGGAACCTAAATAAATAAAGTAAAAAATAAAATAATTATTTGTTAATCAAACTCCTCCTTTGAGACACCGCTGCCCCAGCCCTGTTTCTCGCCGAGCTACCGCTGGTTACTGGCACTGAACGGGCCCCAGAGCAGCTGGAGGGAGCCGAAAGCTCCAGTTGCAGCCAGCGAGCTGAAGAGCAGCAAGCCCAGCCCCAGGCAGCACTGCTGGCTTGGCTGAACCACGGAAAACGCACACGCCAGGGCCTCTAGGGAGAAGTGGCAGAGTGCACTCGGAACCTCGACTCGAGGATTTTCTTCAACTGCACGCAAACCAACACCAAAACGCTCTTTTCAGCGCTGCTGCTTTCCCTCTTCCTCTGTTGCTCTTTGCTCCATTTAAATTCTTGTCGGGTGAAAGGCAAATATTTTCCCCCATTGCTTTTAATACCAAACACATCACTATTCCCAGCCCCAGCAACAGCCTGACACTGCGTGTTTGCTCGACCGAGAGCACCAACTGCAATAACAGGTTATTTTGCCCACTGGAAAAGCTCAGCAAGTGGCTGTCACTGCTTTTGGTGGGAAAGGACGACGCATTTCAACGAATGAAGGGGGGATTTGTGCTGTTGATTCTCGGCTCCTTTCGAATGACCTCAGTTTTCAGATTGCCTGCCTCTGGCCCAAATACACTCAGGGAAAAACAGCCTCCAGTTTGCTCTGTGGAAGCGAACGCCTCGCTCAGCACAGGCAGGCTGCGCGGGTACGCCGGCGAGCTGAGGGAACCCGTCTGCTGAGTCCCAGGCGGCCCAGACTGACCCGCGGTTCCCAGGCAGCCAAATGAGCCATCAAATTCTCTTCCCCAAATGAAGCATTAATTAGGAGCGTATTCTGATGATTCATTTAAAATGAGATGCTTTATTCTAGTTGCCCCGGACTGACCTGATTCTCATGCCCTGGAACATCTCCGTGCTGGTGTGGAAGGGCAGCACGGTGGTGGCGCTCACGCCGGGACAGTCCAGCAGCCCCAGGGTCAGGCTCTCCATGAAGGCAAAGGACGAGGCTTTGGAAGTGCAATAGTCGATGGCCCCGGGGATGGCTGACAAGGCCAGGACGGAGTTCAGGCAGACAATGTGCCCGTGCTGCAACTCCAGCATCCTTGGCAGGAACGCTTTGGTGGTCTGAGCAACAACAGGATTAAGGGGGGAAAGAATAAAAGAAAAGGCTTGCTCAGTAGAGATACACTAAAAACATGGAGACAAGGCACACTGTGCTGTTCAATATACCAGGAAAGGAGTAGGAAAGCACCTGGCTGCTCGTCATTTTCTGAAAAATGTCATTTTCTGAACGGGCAAAGTTTGTGGAGAAGCAAAAGAAAATCTTTCGCAGCACATAAGCAAGCAGTGCCCACGGATAAGGGCCACGAACCGAGCGCTTTGTGTGTTTAAGAGGATGAAGTCTTCCACAAAGCGATGAAATCATAAGCACCTCTTTTTTTATTCCCGTTATCTAATTCAGAATGGAATGAGTTTCACGTGAGTTTCTTTCCCTGAGCAATGCAGCCTCACGCCCCTCTGATGCTCCGCACACATCCCTGGTCAGGACTGTCCTCCGGGAGCTCAGGCTTTCCCAAAAGAAATCAATTTTTTACTGGAAATCATAGAATGGGAATATAAGAGCATCAAATGGAAGAATTAAATTTTTTGGACTGCTTTCCACTGACCTTTGCCCCTCACGTTGTTTTTTCTGACTCCTTTTCATCTCAGACTGATTTTACCAACTGTCATTTAGTAAAACCTAGTAGTTCCCTGTCACTCTGATTCCCGATTCTGAAAACAAGGGAAACCAGAACTTATCTTACCCAGAACTGCCCCAGGGTGTTTATATGTTGGGATTTGAGCAGTGCGTCATCATCGCTGTCCATCAGGCTCTTCCCGTGCACCACGGCAGCATTGTTCACCAGGATAGTGATATCACCCACCTGCACATGAAAAAGCAAATTACTGGTTACAAGTAATCTCTCTCCTCATGAACCAGCAATCACTATTATATCCTAGCATCTAGTATTACCTAAATACATCATTCTTTTATTTTTTTTCTTTTATTCTTTTATTATTCTTTTTACTCTTTTTGGTTCTTTTTTATTCTTTTTTATTCTTTGAACAGCTTTTGACATTCTTGCCTATCAGCCTCGTAAACCTTCTGGATCACCGAAAGCAAGAAGCCAGACTTTGTACAACTCAGTATGAACCGTCATCCTTCTTTTTCCCCTATTTGCCCATTTGGTTTTTTTTCTCATCAACCACGAGTCATTCCTACATTCTGCCCACAAACAGCGTTTCCAGAGACACGAACCTTTTCCCGCACAGCCTTGGCTTGCCGATAGACCTCCTCTCGATTCCCTACGTCGCAGATGAAGTAATGGCACTCGGTGCCCATCCTCCTGATCTCCTCCGTGGTCTCCTTCAGGCATTTCTCAGTTCGACCCCACAGGATGATCTGCAGCAAGAAACTTCTGTTAGAGTCAAACTGCTTCTGCTTCAAACATGAAACAATTAAAATACGCCTCTCACTTTGACACGCTGGCGCCTGTCTTCGATGTGTTCTCACTGTTGCGTTGTGCCACTCCAGACTGACAAAACGATCTCCCGTTACACGGGGATGGGACTTGAGCATTGGGGCGGTAGCCGTATCCCACTCCTGATGCTCCGTTTACAGGCTCTTTACCAGCAACGCAACAGCTACCACCAAAAAATCAGATCTTTAGCCCAGCATGACAAATACATCAAACACTTAGTAATTTTCCGTATAATGAAATTTCAAATCTGTCCCTTCTTTTGCTATACACGCACAGAAAGATAAATGTACTCCAAAATCACACACCTGCCTGTACATCTGGTATGTTATCTGCTTCTACACTTGAAGACAGTATCTGCTCTGCAGTAAAACACATTTTTTCAGCATGTCCTACATAACTATGTGCAATACCGTCTGCAGGCTGGTGTCCCAGGTGCATTTCAAACAAGAGGTTCATCCTATCACAGACATCTGAAGTCAGAAATTTCAAGGCTGAATCTCTTTTGCAACTGATATATGCAAGATTTCCCCTGCACTCCCATTTAGCCCAGTAAATTATGTTAATTCTCATACAAAGAACAATTCTGAGTATCTGTGGAAGCAAAATATTCAGATGATATGGCCTGGATTTGATATGTGCTGAAGGCACACATTATCTGAAGGCGCACATTATCTGTATTTCTACACCACAGTTTAAGTCAGAAATGGACTTGAAAAGTTACAGTTTCCTTAACGTCCATTGCAGGGCTTTATCCAGCCTGATTTTTCCTGGTGCAAGAGCAATATTAGTCTCCAGTATGAGACGGTGCTTTCACTACATTAACCTCCAGCTAAGCAGATTTAACAAATAATTTTTTCTTCCTAGTACATAACCTTTTTTTTCTATTTCTTTTAAGGCTACTAGAAGCAATGTAATTTCATGTCTCTGTTACCGCGAACCTCTACGTATGAATCAATCTGCTCGTCACGCTGAGTATTCTCAGCATTGAGCGTGTCACGAGCGTGAGCCACTTGTTATCCTGCAAAAAGAAAATGACTGAACGGAGCTGGGATCAGCCGACTGCTCTGCGATTCAAACAGCAGCAGAGATGGAAGAAAAGGTTGCTCCTGCAACTTGGTGATGCCAAGTTACTGTTCAGTACTAAAAAATACAGGACATGCACACAGTCAAAGGCAGGTTTAGTCTGAGCAGGGGGCTGGGAAAAGGCTCGTGGGAAACGGCACCAGCCTGGCTGCTCCCACCGCCCGCGATCCACCAGCAGCTGCTTCCCACCCCATTGCACACCCAGCACCAGTCTGACCAGTTCATCCATCTTTTCCCGGTTAAAAATAAGAACACCTAAACTTCAGATTTAATAATCTTTGAGTTCTCCAAACCCCAAAAGATCAGGAACAAGGAAGTCTAAGTTGTATCACTTGATTTACTTAGTAACAGCAAGATAAAGATGAATATTTAGGACCTGCGGTATCCCTTCCTTCCTTCCTCCCAAATCGCTCTTGCAGAGACCTGTAACACGCTTGGTTTCGAGGAACAGTTAAGCTTATCTCAAAACTGGTACCAAAATTAATCTCTGGCAGGGTCAAAGAGTTCTTCCAGCGTGACTATGCAAGGCTAAAACGCAGAAGCACCAGGGTTTTCACCCATGTCCTAAATGAGTTGAACTTACAATTAACCATGGGCACACCTGGGAACACAAACACCCAGACCCACAGACTCCTACTGTCAAAATCACCCAAGGACTAACGAGTTTGTTAACAAGAGACTTCAGAGCCCTCTCACAGGAAATCTTATCTTAGGGGAAGTAATTTTCAGGGAAAAACCTGCCAGCAGACCCAGCCAGAAGGAAGCAGCTGGAGAGAAGTGTGCCTCGCGTGCCGGCCTCTCTGCAAACGCCGCAGCATCTCACCAGCTTGGGCACCTGCACAGGGCTCCCACACCCCACGGCCCTTCACTCCCTTGTGAACCCAGCAGTGATTCTTGTGCCTGCCCTTGCAGACCTGAAGGGAAATCCACAAGATGTGAGAAATGTCATAAGCTTTCAGGAAATACTTACAAAATACTGTTCGACTACAAGCACACACGCTCGCTCTCTCTTTCACAACCCACCTCTCTGTGGAAAGGGGAAACCACTAGAAAACGTCAACCCCCAGCACCAAGTTTGATGCCTACAGAGCTGGCATCAGTGTGAACGTCAAGCTCTTGGCAGGAGTGGATCAGCCAAGTGCAGACGCACAAAAGTTAAGTGACGAGTTGAAGGGTGTTGGAAGGGTGTAGGAGAGGAAGAGGAAAGGAAGAGGAAGAAGGTGTCAGACAAGGCGAGTGAAGCAAGAAGCTGACCCCACGTTGTGAAATACAAAGCAGATCCCTCACTCTTCAATCTGTTTCAAACACCCACACAGCTTCCCAGTCCCGAGAGCTACCACTGACACACCGAGTCACAGAACCACAGAATCATATAGAATCATAGAATCATAGACTCATATAGAATCATAGAATCAATCATATAGAATCATAGAATCATAGACTGGCCTGGGCTGGAAGACACCTCAGAGATCTCCCTGTCACGGGCAGGGACGCCTCTCAACTAGATCAGGCAACACGTGGGGACCGAGCGGGGATGGAACCCACGACCTTGGTGTTACCAGCACCACGCTCCAACCGACTGAGCTCACCAGTCGTGGAAGAACAGTTCAGCAAAGGCCGACCTGGCTCTCAGCCAGAACGGTTTTTATGGCCAACCAGTCACTTTGGCACGTCTGACATCCTCTGACGTCCTAAGGGCAAGTCTCGCAAGGTGACCCCACTGAAATCTGGGCCCTCTGGGGAAGGCAGAATTTGCTGGTTATCCTGCTGACAGCACTGACTCCAGGACGGACTTTTTTCCACGGGAAGTTTTCCTGTCCTTGACGCTGCTCACACGCAGGTGAAGGCGTCAGCCCGCGTAAGAGAAAAGCTGTAAATAAAAGACCGTTCTTGGGTGAGAGGTGAAAGTTCCCCAACGACACAGCGGGAAGCCAGGTTTCCTGCCGTCAGTGCTGCTACTTTTTACAGATGGATAAAACACAAAGCTCAATACAACGTGCTTTTGGTCCAGATTCAAGCTTGACTGCTCCTAGATCATGAGAGACCTTCAATTTCTCTCTTACATCTGGCAAAACTAAATTGGCACAGGCTTCCCCTCGGCCTCCTACGGTACCAGATCTTACAAAGAGACAAGACTTAAAATTGCTGCATTGGCCTCATCCTTGAGGCTTCTGTTGCTCTCAAACTCTTATCTTTACCGAGGGCTTTGGCTTAGCATTTCTCTGTAGGCAATACTTTTCTTTTCTTGCTTGTAGCAGTTCCAGCCATGTTCTTCTAGGTCCTCCTGAGATTTTCTACAAACCTACTCATCAGTCCTCTGCTCTGCTGAATTCACCTCCTTCTGCAAAATCTGCATTTTGACTGTTTGCCGCTTGGCACTCACAAGGTTTTGTCAAGAACGTGAAATGTTCTCACCAAACCATTCAACCCTCCTGGACAAAAACACGTGCTCGCTGTGCGACTGATGCGTGAGCGCGGGCCGGGGCGCTGGGAGCTCCAGCTCGCCTAAACCTGCACCTCGCTCCCCTTGACATGCAAGTAAACACGTCAAGAAGTCTCCGTTTATTCTTCGCTCAGCCAACATCAAGACACGCAGCTCTGTCCTGCCCCAGTCGGGATTGGAGGACTCTGCATTTGCAACGAGTTCGGACCTGCCGTTTAGGAAATGGTCCATCTTATTATGAAGCACAATTTTGCAAACCCAGACATGTGTCTTGGAGCCTGGTCTGCGTCTCCTTTCCTTTCCAGCTTTGGTTCCAAATTGGCAATAAGCGTGTCCCAACTGGGGGCTCAGTCCTGCAGAGAAGGACTCTCACAGACACAGCAGTTCCTGTCTGGGCCAGAGGACAATGCCGAGGAATAAAGGAGAAAAGAGACACGGGTCCTTATTAACAGCCTGTCAGGATGTTGCACAGCCACCCAGTCATGGTAATTTAATGGTGGATTGAGGAATATTTAACTTGCATTTTGGATAAGTTCTTGGACAGACAGTTTTCCATCCTGGAAAGAATCCACCTCCTATTTTTTCTCCCCCTTCATCTCTCATCATCCTCCCCTGCCCGCCCCTCCCTACTGCACCAGACACGCTCTCCTTTCAAAAAGCTACTGACCAGAAAATTGCAGAGGGCAGGAGCCCAGCGAGGCGGTTAATC